TCAGTATTTGATACGTCAAAATCAAGTCTCCTCGAGTTCGACGATACTGAGCGGAATATAGTCCCAATGATCGCAATCTGTCCTCGTATGACAGGTATTGGAATTGTTCTGCTGTGTAAACCAGTGATATAAGCCCAAGGACTTGCGGTGCCAAGCTGTACAGAACAACAGTAAGTAAAATGCCTCACGACGCTGGTTGGGAAATGTGCTACACATGTCACCAGATAGGTTGCCACGGCGAGCGAAGTTTGCCGAGGCAGGCAGTGGCTAGAAAAAGGTCGAGGGTGGTCATATGAAGACCTTGCATGAGGATATGAAAACCCTAGCCAGGAGTCTGGGTCCTTTAGTTACCGTTAGGTTCCTTGGATGGGGACCTCGGGCCAATCGTGATCAATGGTTAGAGACAATAAGTGATATGGCCGGATGTCGCAAACAGTGGCACTCATGCATCTATTTATTATTTTCTTAACACCAATCTATATGAGTTCTCCGTCTTCCGCTTGAATTTGCTTCCAACATTCCAATCTTCATGTTGCTGTTTATCCAAATAGGCGGTCAAAAGACAGCGACCAAAACTGGTGCATATAAGTGCAGGGTTAATGGTTGTAAGAAATGAATTGAACTGAAAATGTGATTGCGTCACTGTACTCCCATACTTATGAGGACGTAAGAACCCGCAGTGAGCTAAGCTCGTTCGAAACCAACAACCGTGTTCCTCATCGGGTATCTTCGTCACTTTTGGTAAATTTTATCGCAGACGAAGTACAAGAGAACACGCTATGTTGCCTCTAAAATGTTGATACTGAATAGGTGATGGTGGTCGAGTTCAAGCAAACGAGGTCGCTGGTACTGGCGTGGTTCGGTGTACGGGTTTTTGAACTCCGCCACCTTCGCCGAACTGTGTTCGTAGGCTGCTTCGCGGTAACCCTGCTAAACACCATGTCTATGCCTTCATTCAAGGCTCAATTTGCGCGTGACGTCGATGTGACAATTCCTTGAAGGTAAATGTTGCATAAGCTATGCCACTATGCGGCACTATCGCTTTACTTTATGATGTTGCTTGTCGAAGGCATTCGTAAGCTAGCAGTCTTCGATTATTAATGCTTGCGTAGTTTACCGCGGGCAGTGTACACCAAGCGGATGACTAACTTCCTGGTATAATCAGGTGTGACTCTATGGGAAAGTCGTTGTCTCATCAAATCAGATTGATAGTCTTAGCTGGACAGGACATTTGTTGCGCCTGCTTTGCTGTTGTCTATCGCATTGTGCATTGTCCAGGATTGATGCTCCACGTTAGAGAAAATTACGCGGATTCTACCGGGTGATGTGGAGTGGAAGCATCACGAGATGCATAGTGTAGTTAAGTAGAATTGAAAAGACTAACTGGTTGGTTGGAAATATAGAAGGACATGGCAGTCATTTGACAGAAATGTTTTTCTTTTTATCCTTTCCCATCAGGTTCGAATAATTGAAAAGGTGTGTATGCACACTTAGACGGCGTGCTGTGTCGATGGGCCATAGTGATTCACTTTCTTTGCCTCTCGCTCTAAACAGGCCCGCTCCGTACCTAAATTATACATTGTTCCCTACTTTGTATACATAATGAGCTTAGCAAAAAATCAGTGAAGTTCACTTGACTGTATTTCGCTGTATGGATTTGATGTTTATGAGCATTAAATCTCAAAAATCAGAAACCGATCAGAAGTATGCGGGCGTAGCACCAAACAGCTGGGTTGCAACCACATAAAATCGGACTATATTTGTTACGGTTCTAATGACCGCGAGAGCACCCATTGAATGGCATTGTTTCAACTCAACAAGAGTGTCATTCTTTGTGTCTGTTTGTCACTTTGTTCTCATCCGAAGTTGATTCAGACATCCGCTTTCCTCCCTGAACTCATCACAAGTTACCTGCATCCTTTTAGGTCTCTCTATCGGGTGGTCTGTTTATTGATTATCATGTTTCGCATTATCTCCTCAGGGTCTCAAAAACAGCATGATTTGCATCGTGCACTGTTTGCTGAAACACAAGCAGAAAATCTCCGCGAAACTGGAATCCGGGATGACGAAACACCGACAGGTAGGTCATTTTGGACAAACTCCACAACTATTCTGTGTTTCTTTATTTACTAACTCATGCAAGCTTGTATGCTCATATTCCAGTTGAAAATGTACACTAGTCGTCAAACCGATGTGTAAACTGGTGATCCGTCAGTTTAAATAAAACAGTCCTCACACCGTGAATTAATTAATTAATTAATGTTGTCGGCCACAATGAAGAGTTAAGTTGATAAACGTTTGTTGTAGGTATCTTTTCCTGACCCATTGGTCCTTTGGAATTAAACTTGATTTTATGCATCCTGCCCTCCCCCCACCCCCTTGGGAATTTTTAAGAAGAAGGCCATACAGTGTGTTTGATCTGCTTCTGAGGTTTTTGATGTCGATCCACTTTCTTACCGTTATCAACTACGTGTGTCGTACTCCCGCCATATGTCTTCATTGACTAAGGCATTATTTTCGATGAATGGTTTACTGTTTTCAGTTTCTTGAGCAGTCACCATACTCAAACAGTATGATTGAAGCTACTGATTTTCTCTTGCAAAAACCTACTTCATTCCTTTTTTTACGAACCTCGTTGAATTGGTTTGGACCTAGACCAGACTTGGTCTGTCATTTATCTGCTCACTGTCTGAAACCTACAGATCACACTGCTGCTATACCCTTTGATCCTTACTTATTCACTTTTTAGGAGCGAATGTTCATGCACCGAATTCACAGATTCCGCCTGACCCTGTTTCGACTGAAAAAGTTCTGCATGGGGAAAATCTTTACTCGAGCAACGAGGGAACCAATGTGGTCCAGGACAATGTACCGGAGGACGTGAAGGACGGAGAAGTAGCAGACATAATATCAAAGGTTCGTGAGCTTTTTTCGGTTACGTGGGGATCATTAAATCACGCGAATGTCCCATCATGTTTATCCCAAATCTAGGTTGAACACCTTGACGAGTATCCTCTTTCCAGCAGTTTATTTACAATGAAAGAAGTCACTGCGCCTGAGTAATAGCACTCCAGCAATTGCTAGCCAATACCAGAGATGTAACTCATAATTTGATATCATGACAAGGAAAGCACCGAAAATAGTTGGATTTGTGTTGACCTTGCACCACTCGTCGGTTAAAGTGCGTCTGACATCGATAGTCTTTCTTTGACTTACAAGCAGATTGATTTCGGGAGCCAGCATTGAGCTAGTGCGTATTCGTTCAGACTAGAGGTATTGTGGTTTGGCAGCCGCAAATGCCCAAGTTTTTTACGGGCAATAATGATTCATGCAGAATTATTCCGAAACAGATCTTTAAAACACTGCTGTCTTATAGACGTCATCATTAGTTTTTAATTTGTTACTATCTGACATTGTGGTATTATCAATTCGCATCATCTGCTTCATCTGATACACTGTTTGACTGGTTTTTGAGATATTTTCTCTGTTATCGTCTATGGCTTGCTTCATTTCAGCCGCGCGCGCGCCGCCGCCGCCGCCGCGTGGTTTTGATTGAAGACGATGAGGAGGATAAACCTGGGCTAGAACATAACCCAGAGGGAAAGTTGAAATACCCATCAGGTGCGTTATTCTCTAATTTCTATCTCATGATTCGCTCCGTTTAGATACTAGCTCTGTCTCCAAGTTTCACAAGAATAATTTGGAAAAAGTGGAATCCGAAACTGGGGAGACTAACAAGACTCCGGATGTGGATGAAGAAGAGATCAAAAATGTACAGAATATAATAATTCCGAGGACTGGTAAAACTGAACAGCAGTCCAATCGGAAATCAGAACACGACGAATCGGAGGAGGAGGAGGAGGAGGAGGAAGACGGAGATGAGGAAGCGGAGGAGGTCGATAGTGATAGGAGAGAGGGAGATAAACTCAACGATCTCTCTGAGGACACGGAGGAGGCCAGTGATGAAGAAGTAGCCCAAGCTCTAGCACTGAGGCAAGATCGACTCGATCATCGTAAAGAACATCTCAAACGGCAGAAGAAGTGAGTAATTGCATTCCTCTTAAAGTTTTTATCTCAGTATCTTAATGTCTCGCCTGTGGTCATGTTTTATATCACACAAGGGTTGTAATTTACCATGGAGAGAGCCAAATCCACGATCTAAATAGTTACCGTAAAGTGGGGGCAAACGTTATTGAGTAGTGAAGCATTCTTAGTTAAGCTATCGATTCTGCGCATGAAAAATTTAAGATATCATGTGGTATAGAAAACTAAGGAGTAGGGTGATCTACAACTTAGCTGTCTTTGCAGTACCTAGATACTTATTCAAGTTAACTATCCTAGGAGAATTCGAGGACTTGTACAAACAAGACAACCTTGAAGGAACTAAACCATAGTAGTAGTCGTAGTGATAAAAAAGGTACAATGGCGTAGATACCTGGTAATGAGCTACTGACTGAAAGTAAATCCAAGTGGGCGGTGAATGATACCGCCGAGTATAGAACGAGAGATAAACGAAGCACCACTGCGACCAAGACTACAATATCCAATAGCGGAGTGACCTGGGGTGGTGCTGTTCTGGTAACTGACGAAGGATGAAGATTTGATCTATACAACGAAGGCGTGCACGAAACCCGGTCTGCTCCTCCCGGATTTGCTTTCCACGAAGTGGGCTTGGCCTGCTTGACAAAACGGACGCAAGTAGCCTCGGTGCCATTAGAATCTGACTTATGCCCTATGGTTGGAACAGGCGTTGCGACAGTCCTTGTAGATGGGTGTAACAACCGATTCTCCCCACGTGCGGGCTACA